CGGCGGGTCGGTGCCGTCGGCGGGCGCGCTCGACGCGGGCGCCCACTCGAGACGCAGCGTCTCGACGATCTGCTCGAGCGCAGCCTGCTTGGCCGAGTCCTGGTAGAGCGACTTGAGGTCCGAGAAGAGCGAGGGGACGCCCTTGACGAGCGCCGACTTGACATACGCCGTCGCCTGCGTGGTGAACTCGTCGCCCGAGGCGTAGATGAGCGCCAGACGCTTGGCGGCCGTCGACTTGGGATGGTCCGCCTGCAAGCCGCGGAAGACCTCGACGGCTTGCGCCTGGTCTGCTGTCTCTGTTGTGATGCCAAGCAAGCTCAGCAGCCCGGCAAAGTATCGCTTGTTCTCTGGGTTGGAAGCGATGAGCTGCCTCCAGATCGACTCGGCGGCGTCCTTGTCGCCAAGCCCGGCGTGACAGCGTGCCTTGGCCTCCATCTTGCCCTTGAGATCGACGATGCGCGGCGAGCTGGCTTCGATGAGATCGAGCGACTCCTGGAACTTGGCCTGCTCTTCGAGGATGCTGGCGTGGTAGAGGAGCACCTCGCTGTGTTCGTAGTTCCTGTCGGGGATGTCGCGCATGACGTTCTCGTAGCCCTCGAGCACGCGCACTGCGGCGTCGAGCGAGCCTGCGAGGTGGTGTGCGACGGCGAGGCCGATCCAGTTGATGCGGAGGTGGGGCTGCATGCGCAGCAGCGTAAGGCGGTTCTCGACCATGGGCGGGTAGTTTCGGAGCTGGAGCTGGAGGAAGGCCGACTCGCGGAGGAGGTTGATGTTTCCGCCGCCCTCGATGCGGAGTGCCTGGGTGTAGCACTTGAGCGCCTCTTCGAAGTTCTTGTCCTGGCGGTGCAAGATGCCGAGAGCGTGCCAGCAGATGAACGAGGTGAGGTCGAATCGGACGCCCTTTTTGGCGAGCTCGATGCCCTCCTCGCGGCGGTTGGTGGAGCCGAGAAGGAGGCCCTTCATGGCTACGGTCTCGCCATGCTCGGGGAACTTTTTGAGGATGGTGTCTGCGGTCTTGAGGCCGAGCTTGTACTTTTTCGTCTCGTACTCCTGGATGAGCCGCTGGAAGAGGGCGCGCTCCTTGGTGGGGAGCGCAGCTCGCTTCGGCGGCATGGTGGGCGGGTGATGGAGGGAAAGAGAGGGAGACGCTGGAAGAAGCGTAGAAGGTGTTGGTGCGGAGAGGGAGAGAGGAAGGAAGCTGGAATGCCGTCGGAGATTTGGACGACACTCTGGGCCGTGACAGAAGCGGGCCGAGTTGGGTTCGGTTGGCTTGGCTGCTCGGCACTGTTGTGGATCTTCCAATTTCCAAGAAGATCCGGCTTCGGAGCGCAGCAGCAGCAGCAGCAGCAGCCCAACTGCTTCCCTCTTGTGATCGCCTTTTTCGCATGCCGATATTTGGCAGCTTTGTCGATCTTACATTTAGCAACTCGCTCGACACCTCCACGCGGGGCGTCGGTCGGCTCGGGGTCCAGCGGGCCACACCTGCCCGTGTGCCTGAGCCACTCGACCCTGCCTTTCGCCTCTACCCCTCCACCATCCATCCCAACCGTCGCTCGCTCTTCCGTCTGTTCATGCATTCATCCGGCAAAAGGGGCGCCGCATAATCACCCTTGACAGCGTCTCTCCAAGATAGCCGACCTCAACCCGGCTGCAGCTGCGCAAGCTGGGCCGCCGCTCCCCACTCCGCACTACAACGGCTACAACGACCTCCCCGCGTCGCTGTCCACGACTTCATCGTCGAGCACCTACAAGGGCCGACAGAGGGCGCATATCGCCGATCCGATCGTTGCATCCGGTGGCGCTCCGTACGCACAGGCGAGCTCGATTCCAGCGGGACCTGTACGTCGCACAGCCGCTGCTCCCGCACACACCAAGAACGTCTTTTCCGTCTCGACGCAGCGCTGGGCAAAGCGCCTGGCAGACATGGCCGCTCCGTCAGCTCCAGCCGGCGCTGGTGGGAATGGCGCAGGCGCACCACGCGAAGTATCGATTGGCGTGGGCACCGTGTACGACTCGAATGCATTTGGCTCGAATCCGTACGCGCGCGTAGCGTCCGACGATGCAGCACCGGCGCCGTCGAGGTCGCACTACTTTTTGTCGCGCGATGAGATCCTCAAGGGCGTCGCTAACCGGTTCGTGCACTCGAGTGCGTACCTCTGGTTCTACGCCGGCATGGCACTCGCCTCGCTGCTCACCGTCATCATCAGCCTCACCTCCGACTGTCCCGGCACGCTCTTCTACGGCCTCGAGCTCGCGATCAATCTGCTCCTCATCGCCGAAGTCGGCATCAGACTCGTGGCATTCGGCAAGCAATTTTGGAAGAGCACGTACAATGTGGTGGATCTCGGCCTCGTATTGCTGTGCGCGATCACGCTGCTGGTGATCTTCTTCCACCACGAGTGCTCGCCCTTCCGCCGCACACCGTCGTACCCCGACGACGACGGTGAACGAAGAGGAGGCAGGTCAGGAAAGGGCGAGGAGCTGTTGGATTCCATCCTGCTCATTGGACGAAATGTCGTACAGGCCCTCAGGCTGGTATCGATCGTAAGGAGGTCTGGAAGCAACGTCACCAGCCGACCTACGCGCATCGAGATCGGAAACAGACCCTACTCGCTCGATCTCGACCTCGAAGACGAAGGTGCGATGGCAAGAGATAGGATCAGGATAGGAGAGGAGGAACGTGCACCCCTCTTTGACGCCGATGATGACGAGCTCTAGTTTTCCCACTTCCTGACTCTCCTGGCTCATGGCAATTGCATATCACTCGGCTCGAATCGTTCATCCCCGACAGCCTTACTTTGCACAAGGGAAAAGAATTACATTGTTCGTTGGCTGAGGCAGATACAAGTGTGAGGATGTCTACGACTTTTCGCGCGGGTAGTGGTTGTGCTGATACGCCGCCGACCCGCCTGCGACGCTTTCGTAGCCCGGCGGACCAACGCTGCTCTGGTAGTCGTGGTACTGGCTTCCATCTCCGTACTGGGCAGCCGAGGTGCCTTCTCTCGCTGCACCGTCATTCGCACCCGCCGACGAGGGGTGGTAGGAATGATACTGCTGCGACTGCGACTGGTGTTCGTAGGCCGACGACGCATAGTTGTCGTACCCAGCCGGTTCGTGCTGCTGGTGCGAGCCGTGCGCATTCGACGCCAGCCCAAATCCATCGTCGACCGTGCCCTGACGTCGATCCGCAGCTGATCCCGTATGATCATAGACGATCTCCTGCGGCTCGGCTGTCTCGTGTTGCGGGATGGAAGGCAGGTCACGTGGCCCACGCATGCGAGACCCACCCTCATGGAAGCCAGATGAAGGCCCAAAGGTGGCGCCCGAATATTCCGTGGGGTGACCATAGTCACCCGTGGGCTGACGACGCGCACCTGATTGGCTGAACTGGCTGCCACCCGGCACAGGCATGGCTGAGGGAACCACATTGCCGTACGAATCGTACTGTTGCTGCTGCTGGTGTTGCGAAGGGTACTGGCTCTGCTGGGCACAGTCATTTGCGGGCGGTGGCGATGCGATTTGAGGATACGAGCGAGGCGCCGGTGTGAGCGAAGAGCCATGGCCTTGGCTGTCGAGGCCGTCGCGGTACGGCTGAGGGCCAACACCAGGCACATAGGTGGGTTCGGTATGAGTAGGCGACGTGATTGAGGCTTGCCTCTGCGCCTGAAGGTTGTGTGCACCGTAACCAGCCGAGTTGTTGAGCATGGGTGGAGAGCTGGAAAAGTCTTCGGTGCGACTTGGCTGCGCCTGCCTCCTGCCGTAGCCCTGGCCGACGCCATTGATGACGGAGCCACTGGCGGCTAGACCGGCGCCGGCGGCACCGGCACGAGCGATGTTGCTGTTGGTCGAGTAGGCGAGGCCGGGCTGGTGCTGGCTGGCTCCGTTGTGGTAGGCGCCGTCGTCGTAGTCGTTCTTGAGCGGCACCTCGTGCTCGGTCTCGTACTCGGCGAACTTGGGCAGATCGTCGCGCCTGTTCCTGTCGAGCGTCGCCTGCCTGCGCTTCCTGTCCGCTTCGGCGTCGAGCGCATCCATGCGCATTTGCTCGGCATAGCGGTCCTGCATGGGCGCGGCGGGCCTGGCTCCGTAGGTGTCGGGAGGCAGATGCGAGTCCTTGACGCGGTTGCGCTTCCGTCTGCTGCAAATTCCGCAGCTGAATGCGCATCCGGCGAGGAACATGAGGATCCAAGCTGCCAAGGTCATCCAGATGGCCATGCCGAGCTCAGCGGAAGCGCCGTTGATCGAGTTGATGCGCTTCTTTGCAATGATGAAGAGGGCGAGGTCGAGACCAAAGGCAACGAGGGTGATGAAAGCGCCAATACCGGTGACAAAGGTACCGAAGCAGTTGGTCGAGAGCTCGCGGCAGTGCGAGATGAGGCCGAGCAGCACCGAGACAGCGGCAAATGCGAGGGCGATGGGGTGGAGGATGAGCGTGTAGGTGAGGCCCTTGATGACGGCAGTGGTGTATCTACCAGAGATGACCTCGATACCGAGGAGCTGGTTGGGGTCGAACGAGTATCCGAGCATAGAGTTGCTGCAAGTGTCGCCGATGCAGTAGCCAAGCGTGCCGAAACGAGCCACCTGACCATTCTGGGAGCCGCTTCCACCGATGGTGGCTTCGAGGAAGTAGATGGACTTGATGATGGGCGTGGAGATGGTGACGAGGCCGAGCAGGATAGCTGCGACCAGCGTCAGGAGCGTTCCTGGCGTGGCCGGACGGATCATGGTGGCGGCGTCTGTGCGTTGAACGAGATCAAGAGCTGCTCGTTCCGAGTGTCGAAGCAGTCGAGGTTGCAAAGGAACACCTTAGCGACCTTGTCTTGGGAGGTGGGCGTCTCGGAGTGGCGAGCGATCTTGGAAGCCTTGGTCCGACGGATGATGCCAAGCTTGGGGATGGTGGCAAAGACGAAGGAATGACGCTGAAACTTGGCACTCGCCAAGCAGGGTGTGGGCGTATGTGGGGTGCGAAGGAAGGGCGTGCAGCAAGCAGGGTTTGGAGCGGTGGCCCGAGATGATGCACGGCTGCCGTTGTGCACAAAATTGACAGCCTGCACGGGTCTTGGCGAGGCTGCCGAGAAATCTCACTTTTGCCCGCGAGCAGAGAGCATCATGGCCAGGGCAGGATTGGCAGGATAGGGGCCACCGCACACTCAACTCCACACACACCCAGTCTGAGCCAAACGGCCAGATGAATTTGCGAGAGGCAGGGGACGAATCGAAGAACAGGCACGACGGGGCGCGTGCCGTCTCCTGGCTGAAATGCTGTGCAGCTGCATGAGTGCGGTGGGCGCGCCTGGCTGCTCTGCACCGCCTCGAAATCCCTCAAAATCCTTCGCTCCGGGGCAGAGCCAGGTCAGGCACGTCAGAGCAAAGACGCGTAGAGTTGAACAGCCGCGTCAAAAAATCACCCCAACAGCTTCAGAGGTCTAACAAATGTTGTTCAATATTCGTCGCCTCGAACTCCACTTTACCAGCCTCGAAGCCAAGCAGCGCACAGCCCCGAACTGGCCGCGAGATGACCGCCGAATTTCAAGATCCGCGGCCAGGGACGAGACACAGGGCTGGTGACACTCGAATGGCCGCGTGGTGCGGCTGCTGGCTGCGATGGCCTGGTCCCCACTCTGAGCCTGGCCCTGCGAATCGCAGGCGTCACGGTGCCTCCTCCGCCTCTGTCGGTGTGCGCGTGTGAGCTCAAGTGATGGCCCCTGCTCTGTGGGCCCTAGCTCGCTTGCCCGTCCCGTCGACCGACGCTGAGCCGTCGACCCTTTCCTTCCTTGGCTGTGCGGACCGCCGCCCGGCTTGCAGAACCGTCTCCACTTGAGCTGCACACGCCTTCGCCTGGCTTCAGATCGGCTACCTCCCGTCCGTCCGCTTACTCTTCTTGCTCCCATCGATCGGATCAGCCCCGCTTTCCTTGGATCCATCCATCCATCTCTTCGGTCCTTCCGACTCTGCAACCACCTCCATACCCACCCCAAAGCTCGGAATCGCCGCTGAGCACACGCAACCATGGCGCGCTTCGACGACCATATGCCCACGCGGCCCGTCGACCGCGACAAGGCCGAGTCCGAGCTCTCGATCCACATCAAAAAGGCCACCAGCACCGAAGAGACCGCTCCCAAGCAGAAGCACGTCCGCAAGTGCATCGTCTACACCTGGGACTACCGCACCTCCCAATCCATCTGGACCGGCCTCCGCGTCCAGCCCATCCTCAGCGATGAGGTCCAGACCTTCAAGGCGCTCATCCTCGTCCATAAGGTCCTCCAGGAGGGTCACCAAGTCGTGCTCAAGGAGGCCCAGGCTCAGATCGGATGGTTCGAGACGTGCGCCCGCACCGTCGGTGCCGACAGCATGCGCGGCTACGGAGCCCTCATCCGCGCCTACGTCAACTTCATCCTCGCCAAGCTCCGCTTCCACCGCCACCACAAGGAGTTCAACGGCCTCTTCGAATACGAAGAGTACATCTCCCTCAAGAACATCGACAACCCCGACGAGGGCTACGAGACCATCATGGACCTCATGAACCTCCAGGACCAGATCGACCAGTTCCAGAAGCTCGTCTTTGCCCACTTCCGCGGCTCGGCCAACAACGAGTGCCGCATCTCCGCTCTCGTCCCCCTCGTCAAGGAGAGCTACGGCATCTACAAATTTCTCACCTCTATGCTTCGCGCCATGCACCGTCGCACCGACGCCAGCGACGCTCTCCAACCCCTTCGCGAGCGCTACGACTCGCAGCACCATTCGCTCCGCAAGTTCTACTACGAATGCGCCAACCTCAAGTACCTCACCTCGCTCATCAACGTCCCCAAACTCAACCACGAGCCTCCCAACCTCTTTGAACTCCCCGAAGAGGGTCCCTACCTCCCGCCTCGACAGACGCCCAAGGCGCCAACCCCAGACCCAGGCCCGTCCCAGGCAGAGATCGACGAGCAGGCGCGCATGCTCAAGCAGTACGAAGATAAGCAGGCCGCGCTCAAGGCGCAGGAGGAAGCAGAGAGGCAACGGCAATCCGACCTCGCCGCAAAGCAGCAGCGTGACTTTGAGGAACAGCAGCGTCAGCAGGCCGAACAGCAGCGTCTCGCACAAGAGCAGCTCATGCGTGCACAGATGGACCAGATGCAGGGCGGTCGTCTCGCCGAGCTCGAGCGCGAGGTCTTGGCCATGCGCGGACAGTACGAGCGCGACCAGCTCATGCTCGAGCAGTACGACCGACGTGTCAAGGCGCTCGAGACCGAGCTTGCCAACATCGGCCAGAACTTTGGCGCTCAGATGCAGGGCAAGGACGACCTCATCAAGCAGCTCCAGGATCAGGTCACTCTCTGGCGCAACAAGTACGAGGCTCTCGCCAAGCTCTACTCTCAGCTGCGTACCGAGCACCTCGAGATGCTCGGCAAGTACAAGCAGATGCAGATCAAGGCCGGAAGTGCACAGGAGGCCGTCGACAAGATGGAGCGCATGGAGCGCGACGTCAAGGCCAAGAACCTCGAACTCGCCGACATGATCCGCGAGCGTGACCGCGCCCGCTTCGACCTCGATCGCATCAAGGCCAGTCAGAAGGAGGAGTTCGACCGACTCAAGCGCGACCTCATGTTTGCCAACGAGCGTGCAGAGGATGCGACGCGCGCCAAGAGCTCCGAGCTTTCCGGCATGATGTCCACGCTCAACCGCCAGATCGCCGAGCTCGAGGACTCGCTGCGCGAGAAGCGCATGGAGCTCGACGC